GTTTGTGGACGCTACGTCGCTACTTGATCAAAGCAATAACGTCACTACTGGAAAGTTACTTGATAAATAAAGCAGCGAAGCTACGGTCAAGCTACTGGAAAATGTAGTTAAACTAATAGCTTCGCTACATGTAGCGGCGCTACTGCCCATCACTGTTTGATACGTTGCTTGAGCTGAAATAGAACCGTCCGCTCGCTTGCTGTTCCTCAAGGAGGCTCCACGAGCACAGGATGGATCATCAGAGTGGCAAATATGATAGAGACAAGTAGCCGTAGCGGGAAATGGCGATACAGGGCTCGAAGCAATAAAAATATCATTACATATTTTGCAAAGGTTTTTCTTGATATTTAAAAAATTTTTTTTTACTAAATTTGTTATTCTTAATATTTTCGGAAGTAACTGTAACTGAATTACATTTTTTCTCATTGTAACTGTAACAAATTACAGTTACTCTTTTTTTGTAATTAAATTACGTAACGTTGTTACATGTAATCCGTTACTCCCCAACACTGCATTTAAGAATACCACAGCAACCAAGTAGACAGTGAAATCAAAACTAAGAAAAAAGGTTTAATACAAATATTTTGATTTTAGTTGCATGTTCCTGAGATTTATCTAGATTAAGGGGAATTGAGATTTTAAATTCACTTATAAATTTAAAATTTAAAAACAAAGAAGGCTTGCATTAACTATTAGGATGGTCCACAACCTTAGCATTATTGGATTATACTTAAAAGTTTAAAAGTCTGCAGCTGTAAATGACCCCGTTGAAATCAGAAGCATTTTCAGAAGTGTGCTGATGGCTGCACAAATTGTTCAGGGCAAGTGCAAGGGACAATTAACTGTTTATTTGTTTGGGTACATGTTTATATTTGAGCTTGAATATTAAACTTGTACCTGTTAGAACAAGAGAAAATTGACATTAAATTTACAGTCAGCACCCACTTTTTGTGCTTAAGAATAAATACCACTAAAATACATGTAAATTATATTTCATGAACAATAAACAAAGATTAAAACAACTTAACAGCTGAAAGAAAATTATGTCTTCTGCCCTCTCTCCATGAACACAAATTCAGATTAGAATACAGTATAAGTGAAAAGTTCAATTATTTTTGTGACTCCATTCACTAAGTGAAACACATTACATGGATTATTTGCAAAAACCTTGATGTTTCTACGCCTTTATTTCATATAATTATACATATTATCTGGTTTTACAGTTTGTCAGCTTACAGGAAATTAAAACGTCACATTTAGAATGTAAATATTACATCAATAATAAAAAAAAACATTTCTTACACAAAAATGTAAGCTAAATGAAAAGTAGGCTCAATACCTGCTCAAAAGGTTCTTATTTTCAAAAGTTGATTTTTATATGACAATATAACAGAAGATCAGAACTTTCATTTTATTTTGCATCCATTTTCAATGTACTTCTTTATCAAGCATGCATAGCACATGAAAAAATGACAAGTAGTCATTAAAAACATTAAAGAAATCTTTAAAAGTTAAAGAAGATAAAGTATTTTCATAACATATTCTTAGTGTATTGCTCAAAAACATTAGATATTAAGACCAACACCATTTAAACTATAAATCAATTCTTAGAAAATTGCTAAATAAAATAGGAAAGTTTAAGACTTATTTCTTCAATTTTTGTGTGCATTACTTTATAAGTATATAATAATTATATAATATTATATATAATTTAAGTATTACAAATGTTTGTGTGAATACTGCAATACTGTCCCCCAGACATCCGCGGTTATATACCGTAAATTCTCTAATATAGGCCCG